CCCTAGGAATTAATTTTTGTTTCATAAACTATAATATTTTGGTAGTGTGGCAGTAGGGACTTTGGAATCAGAGTTAAGAGCTCAAATGTTCAGGCAAGAAGCAGAATATGCCCAGGGTCCCAGGCAGAAGCTGAGGGCTGCCCCCTCCACCTGGAAGCAGGCAGGAAATAGAGCACACCCGGGGTCCTAGGCAGGAGCCAGGGGTAGCATCCCCTGCCTGGAAGCAGGCTAGAACTACAAAACCACCACTTCCATGTGGGTGGCCCGCCATAGCCACCGCCACAGCCACGGTTGCTGCAAAAGTGGCTCAGTGCCACAGCGGTAGCCACAGCCATCATACAGGTAGCCCACCAGACACTTGACTGCATTGGCATAAGAGTCACCAGTGGAGACCAGAAAAAGAAGGGATGTCTCTCTCTTCAAAACCCACTCCAGAGTAATAGAAGAAACAACTGCTCTACCAGATGACAAGACATCAACATAGAGATACTTGGAATACAAACATCCGAGAAAATATGACACCACTGAAAGAATGCAGCAAATCTCAAATTCCAGACCCTATAGAGCAGGGAACCCTTGAAATGACTTAAAAGGAATTCTGAGCAACAATCTTAAGGAAACTCACTGAGATACAAGAAGACTCAGTTAGATGACATAATGAAATGAGAAAAAAAAAAATCAGGATATGAAGGATGAAGTTTACAAAAGAGGTTAATACCTTAAAAAAGAATATAGCAGAACTCATGGTACTGAAAGAGTCACTCAACGAAATATAAAAAGCAACCAAGAGCTTAAGCAGCAGGCCAGAACAAGCAGAAGAAAGAATTTCTGATCTTGAACATAGTGTTTTCAAAATAACCCAGGCAGACAAAAAAAAAATTAAAACATGAAGAAAATCTAAGAGAGCTAGCAGACAACCTGAAGTGCACAAATATTCAATTCATGGGTGATCCAGAAGGAGGAGAAAGGAAAAGGCATGGAAAACCTATTCAATGAAATAATAATGGAAAACTTCCCACATATGGGGAGAGATGTAAACCTTCAGATATAGGAGGCTAAACAATCCCCAAACAGATTCAGCCCAAAAAGGTCCTCTCCAAGACACATTACAGTCAAGCGGGCAAAGCTCAAAGATGAAGAGAGAATCTTAAACAAGAAAAATTGTCAAGTCACCTATAAGGGAGCCCGTCAGCCTAATAGTAGACTTCTCAACAGAAACTCCATAGGCTAGGAGAAAATGGAATGATATTATTCAAACTACTAAAAGAAAAAAACTGCCAGCCAAGAACACTCTACCAGCAAGGCTATCCTTCAGAAATGAGGGGGAAAAAGTGTAATTTTCAGACAAAAAAACACTGTGGGAGTTCACCACCACATGACCAGCCCTGTAAGAAATCCTCAAGGAAGTTCCTTCATCTGTAACCCCAAAATGATAATCACTCATCTCACGAGCTGTAGTTCTATTCAAACTTTTTTTTTTCATAGCTCAGTCTTGGTAGGTGGTATGTTTCTAGGAACTTATTCATTTCATTTAGATAATCTAATTTGTTGATCAACAATTATTCAAAATATCCTCTTATAACCCTTTTGTTTTCTGTAAATTTTGTTGTAATGATCCCTCTTTTGTTTCTGATTTTAGTTATTTGAATCTTCTCTCTTTTTTCTCAGTCCATCGAGGTAAAGGTTTGTCAATTTTGTGGATCTCATCAAATTACCAACTTTTGGTTTCATTGATTGTTCTCTTTTTTTTCCTATTTTCTACTTCTTTCATCTATTTTCTAATTTTTATTATTTACTTCCTTAACTATATCTAGGCTTGGTTTGCTCTTTGTTTTCTAGTTTCTTAAGGTGCAAAAGTGATTGTTGACTTAAAAATCTCTCTTTTTAATTAATGTATGCATTTATGTTAAATAAATTTCCCTTTTAGCAAAAAATAAAATTAAATTAAAATTAAAAAAGAAAGTTCAAATGCCACCTCTACCATTTTTAAACTGTGGAGGCTTGGGCTGATTATTTAAATTTTGAGCTTTTCTCATTTGTAAAGTGCAGGGAACAATAATTATCTCAAAGGTTTTGAATATAAAAATGCTTCTGAGAAAGCCTGCTACCTAGTAGGTGTTTATTAAATGTTAAATTTAATAAATGAAATAGGAAGTAATTTAAACCTAAAATTTCAGTGGTAATGTGCAGAAATAAATACACAAAACAAGAATCTCTGATTCTGGGTTACCTGGGAATTTTTTAAGGTGCTCTGTTTGTTACTTCCCATTAGCCCATTGCTCGATGTCCTTTCCTAGAATACTTTAGAATGACTTTGCTCAGAGCATTGAACTTAGGGAATATTTAAGAACTCAAGAAATTAGTGCCCTATCAAAACAGTGGTTGAGCAGAGTAATAAATTCATTTTTTTTATTATTTACTGTATGTGATCATATTACAAATACAAGTAGCTGCCATTTGTTACTGTTTGCCAAGTCCTGTACTGAACACTTTATAAACATCTTATGTGATTCTTATAATAACTTAAGATGTAGGTGTTATGGCCCTCATTATACACATGAGAAAATGAGATACACTGTTTTAAGAAGAACATCTAAGCTTCTGTAACTGGTAAAACTTAAAAGCCAGCGTAGTGCTGTCTCAAGTTAGTGTCTGTGATTTGGTACCTGCACTATTCTGGATGATAGTTTATCTTTGAAATGCTAATACAACATAGAGCTTATCGAAGGAGTGGTTGGTATTTAGAATCTTTGAAATATTTTATGCCTAGTTAGGAGTTGGAAAAGTCCAAGGAATTGATTGTATATGTCCACTGCCAATTTTTCTGAAGTAATTTGTCTGGGTGTTTTGATTTTGACTTTATTCCATCCAAGGCAAGTGTAGAATACTGTGGAATGACTCTCTCAATCAGTGTTTCTTAGCCTTGGCTACACAAAAGAATTACCTGGGGAGCTTTAAAATGTAAACCAAAGAAAACAATAAAAAAACCCTCAACCCAGTCCCTATTCCCAGATATTCTGATACAAACTAAATAGTGCCTAAGTATCCTGTAGATTTAGGCCCAGTCCTGCATTCTGGACTGAGGTGCTGGGAAGGACTCAGATCAGTCCCCTGGGAGCATCAGTGTCACTCTCTCGAGTCTCATTTTGCTTGGTATTCTGGCTCTGCAGACTGGGGCTGCCTCACTCCCCCACCCCCTTCCCCTGTACCCCCACCGCAAAGTGAAGGAGGAGGTGAAGCAGTTGTCAACATTTGTACCATTCCAGGAATGCTGTCATCTATCCGGTGCTAGTTCTTGGGATATTACTTCTCTGTTGCTTCTTTATGCTTTGGATGTACTGGCTCTGTGTATTGTTTCATTTCCTATTCTGGTAATATCCCAAAGGCATTTGTCATATTTGTAAAAATCAAACATAGGTCAATCAAGGAGCTATTCCAAATGCTGGCCACAGGTGCCATTTTCTTTCAATGAAATTACGTTTCCCATCTTTTCTTCTCTCCTTCACTATTTTCATCAACCCAACTGGTCTCTCGTTCCTACCACTCTACAACTTTCTTTAATTTGAACAAGGTCAGATGGCAATAAATCCAGCTGTGGGCAATAGTCTAGGCAGCAGAGGATTTTTAAGGCTGGTAAGCAGTTTGCTATTTGCCAGAGTGCCCTATTGAAATGCAGATTCTGTGGAAATGTGGTGTTACCAGGTTACCAGTTGGAGCAATAAATTAAATTTTCACCAGCAAATATTTGTCCACCGTAATTTAAATCATTTTTCTATTCCATTTACACATGAGGGGGCAGTATGGTACTATAAAGCAAATGTTCTGTTAAAATTGCTTATTTTTATTGGTATATAGTAGTTTTTAGGTGAGACCTTTTAGCTCTGCAATTAGAACTCCAACATCATTGTTATTAAATGTGATACACATATGTGACACTCTCACAGGTATCACAGGTCATGTGCCTGGTTTTATTTAAGTGTAGAAATAATTTTTTTTTATAACTGTAGGATATTCATGCAGTTCCTTTTATTGTTTTACATTTATATCTTGTTTAAAGCTAGTTGGCTTTCTTCCTATTTTCTCTTTCTACCTGAGGAATGTCAGTCCTTTGGAAATGCAGTGTCTGTTAGGTTGATGTCTCTAATAAATTTTATTTGATGACTTCATTGAAGGCCGAAGGGTCGCCAGTGCTGTTGGAAGGAAGCCTCTGAAGTCAGGTCTTGGCAGCTGTGGGAGGTCTATTATAAATTACACTATATGTTATCCTTCCCTTTGTGGCACAGATTGCTTTTTCTCAAAAGGAAAAAATTGCTAAGCAAGAGGAAGCACATTTTAATTCATGTTATTATTGTTGATATTTGAATGACACTGTAGATAGATCAAGGTGCTAATATTCTGGGTTTCATAAATGAAAGGGAAAATTATTAAGAGAAGTTGGAGGGTATTAAATAAACTGATAAAATCTGCAAAACATCTTATGAAAAATGTAAATGGGAATCCAAAAAGGTAATTTCATAAGTACAAGCTATTTTTAAATGTAGAAAAAATATTTGCAGTTGTATGTTTCTGTTTATGTAGTTTGAAAAAAAATTGAGACTAGCATTTTGGCATAAATATAATCCTCTGAAATTTGTTGGGATACTTGTTTTTAACGTTTTATCCTGGCTACATTTTCTGTGGATGAAGAGCCGTGGTACTGTCTACATCCGGTAAAGATCATCACACTTGTTTAGTTTTAGAATGAATTACTTGAAATATAATGATCTGATGTTGCTTTTACTTAATTTTAATGTGAAATTTTATTTTGAAATCTTATGTTAAAAATAAATAAAAGGCTTACGACCTATTCCCCAAATGTGAAGGAATGTATTTTTGGCCCTAGCCTATCTTGAATGAACTCCAAATCAAATGTTGTTTGATGCTGGTTTACTGTAGCAATACACAGGTTTCTGGTTTCTGTTCAGGGTAAAAAACTAATGTCCTTTATGCCTCAATGGCAGATTTTTCGAACTCCGCCTGATACCACATTCTTTGAGCCCAGCTGCCTGTCAGCATCGCCCCCAAATGCTCCACCAAGGCAATCGAAGAGACAAGGCCAGAGGACAAAGAGGCCCGTGGCGGTATATAATCTTTGTCTCGAGCTGGAAGACGGTAAGATGTTGCTTATGTTTCTCTGCTTGACAGCCTGTTGTTGAGAGTATGGCATATCGTATGTCCTCAGGGTGGGCCACGGTTTTCTATCCTCTGTGTTTTCATTTCTTTTTCTCTTGATTATAATTTTTAAGATTAACAGGGAGGGAGAAGCTTTCTTGTCAGGAGGAAAATGCAAGTTTTGGTTTTGTGTTTGTCTTTTTTATGCATGGTTCTTTTTTTATTTTTAAAAGACAGCTTAAATTTCTTTTTTGGGAGACTTGTGTGACCTCCTGTGAGGTTATGTAACCCTGAGACACATGGAAAGGGAACTGAAATTAAAGCAGAAATCTAGGGAGAGGAATTGATAGTCTAATGTTAAATGCATCTAGATTAAAGGCACAGTTCGCCACTGCACTAGGGTTTTTGGCTTCTGCACCTTCCCTGATTCTCTAACCTTTTCATCAGGCAGGGGTGACACATTGACCTGCTCACCAGGACTGGGCTGAGTGAACTGGGCTGCAGTGGGACTCTGGCAAATTCAAGTTCTCACGTCCTATCCAAGCAACCATGTTCCAGCTAACAGTTGCCATGTGTCCACATTGCCAGGTTGCCCAGTTTTTAAAGAGAGCCTGCAAACCCGAACTTTCAAAGCTGATCCATATAAAACAAGAGTGTGAAGCATGCAGAGGCCACTAATTGCTGATTTGGAAGCAGATGGTTATTGTTGTGGTGAATAAGAAGAGCCTGGTCTCACAACCTGCATTTTCAGCATGCATGTCTAAAACTGTGACTGTTGTCATTGGGCTTCCCTGCCCATAGAGACGATTTCTCAAATTTGAAATTAGTTTTTATTTTTCTTCCTCCTTTTAAAAAAAAAATATCTTTCATTTATTATCCTTTTGAGTTACTGAGGTTATGTTGGTTTGGAAGTGTGAGATAATCATGAAAGGAAAGAAGGGGATAAGGATGCTTATGGCAATACGTTCGTCATAAGCAGCTGTACATTCCAGTGGCCAGGTAGTTGATGTACAAAGATCCATACAGGGAGGTGACAACTGTCTTCAACTCATCCAACTCAGAGGTATCTGCAGGAAGACTCAGAGTGCCTCCTGCAATAACACTGGAGGGCAGAAACATTCTAGTATTCCTTTAAATTGCTTAAGACATATGTATATATGATATAAGTATTAGTTTTGCAATCAAGTCCTTATTTTGCAGAGGAAAGACATGAATCATTAAAATCAACTTACAATTTCAGAACTTGCGTTTAGACAGTAGTTTCAACTTCTGATCCCAGTTAACTTTTATTCTCTCTTTTTCTCACTTTCACTCTTAACAGAGTTGCTAATAAGGAGTAAAACTGACTGGTTTGAATTGCACCTTCTCTTTACATCTCACTTGTCCTCTGATAGAAGTGTTAATAAATCGTGAAATAAGCAAATGTTGGAAAGTAGGAGGGGAGAAAGAAATCAAGAAGACATAGAATAATACTTAAATTGGCTCATCGTCCATTAAGAAAAATGGAATTGACTATATTTCACACAGGGGATGACAAAAAAGGGACATTTTGCCTTAGAATCACATCCACTTTTCCTAGGAATGGAATCATAATATCCAATTAAATTTACATAATGAACGAATCTTTTGATTGTTGGCTTGCTAAATGATTATTAATGGGTAAGAAGCTTCCATAGTGGTATTCAGCATATCTTCTATGGGAAAACTCAAGATTGTATGCAATCATAGCTTTCCTAACTTTTAGGTGATACGATAATTCTTAAAGATTTTTTGAATTTAAGGGAAAGAAGAGTCTCAAATACTGCTTTATTCTGTTTTTATGTTCATTATGTATTATGTTTTATCCTACATTTTGTATTTTATGAAGTATTTTATAACTTTACATTAATCCTTCTTAAATGTAGCCTTGGTTTTTTTGAAAGTTGTCAGAACCAAGAAAGCTCATGAGTTTGGTCATGGAGTGATTTTATTTTAACTTAGAGTTCATAAGATAAGATAAAGGAATTAAAAGCTATTATACCTACCCCACACTCCACCAGTTACTTGTAGCTAAACATTGTGAAATTCAAGTTGTGTGAAAAAGTTGCTTCAGTGAGAGCAAAGAAGGATTTGTATTTTATCATAGGTTTTCATATTTTGTGTATTCTAAGGAATTGGGAAATAAGACGGGTGGTGAATATGCTTTTTGAAAGGAAGCATATAGGGAAAGGATACTAAAAAGCTATTCATATTATTGAACGTCACTTAGCATATTGAAAACTCTACCCCCTCAAAAAAGATATATTCTTGTTGCTAGGATTTAATTTTTTTTTTCTTAGTAGCCTGAATCATCTAATTGTCCACACTATTTGAAGGTTTCAAAAAGTTTTATCTTTTTTTTTTTTGACCGGTAAGGGGGTCACAACCCTTGGTATGGGGTGGTCCACACTACGCTCAGCCAGCAAGCGCACCGGCCATCCCTATACAGGATCTGAGCCCATGGCCTCGGTGCTACCAGCGCCGTACTCTCCCGAGTGAGCCACAGGGCTGGCCCAAAAAGTTTTATCTTTTTTTAGGTATTTTTTTGTTGTTGTTGATAGTAGTAAAGTCACTTCCCATGTTTACCTAGTTTGGTTAAAATATGCATTATGGGGCCGGCCCGGTGGCGCACTGGATAAGTGCGCCGCTTGGGAGGCGCGGCGGCGCTCCCGCCTGAGGGTTCGGATCCCACGTACAGACCGGTTCCCACTCACTGGCTGAGCGAGGCGTGGGAGCAGCACCGAGGGTTGCGATCCCGTTGCCGGTCCCCGGTCCGGTACGGGGGCAGCACTGAGGGTTGCGATCTGTTGCCGGACACGGAAAAAGATAAAAAAGACAAAAAAAAAAAAAAAAATGCATTATGGACTAATTTGGTTGATTATTTTTCCAAATTTTCTAGTTTGATAGAAAATTTAATTGCAAATATGTTGTCCCCCCACTTATACTATTTATACCATTGTAGTATAAGTTAAATTTGATTTAATAAAATCCAGGATAAATAGCTTTTGCTTAAAAGTTAGACTGTATGCCAAGATTAGAGGGACTGGATTGGATGGCTGGAGATTTTCTTCAGCCCTGTGATTTGGTCACAAATTTGGTATTTGAGTGAAGTGGTCTGTGGCATGTTATTTTTTTCTTCTGCACTGAGTAGAGTATGAGACTATGTGATGTACCAACAGCCAGTCTTGGAAAACACTCAGAACTGATTTCATTCAACATCAGGCAGATCAAAAAGTCATTAGGAGAGAGTCAGCACGCCTGTTAGCAGGGGCCACAGTAGGACAGGCAGGAAGTAGAGATCCCGCCAGCATGAGCCAGGAGAGAAATCCTCCGCTGTTAGACGTGACTTCTGTTATGTCTTATTCAGCCCACCCCCAGTTGAGAGACGACCAGTTTAACTAAAGAAACTTAGTGTCTTTACTCTGGTTATGTCTTATTCAGCCCACCCCCAGTTGAGAGACGACCAGTTTAACTAAAGAAACTTAGTTAAACAATGAAGACTTTCATTGGCATTGGCACATGTAGCTGCACTGTGTGTGCTCATTATTTTTCTTTGTCATATATGATATTAAACTTATTATTTGCAGAAGACTTAAAAATTCCAGTTATTGTTAAGGATCTTTATTGATGGTTAATATGAACTGAAATGGATATAGTATCTAGCTGGATTTCTTAAATTAGAACAGTTATTAAATCTTCACTGAGATTCTTTTATTATTTTGTAGAAGCCATATTGTTCACTTTTATATAGCATTTAATAATCTCAGGAACTTCAAAGCTGAGTAGATTTGGCTAAGTCGGTGGTGAAATAGCAAAATATGAGGTAGGCTGCTAAGTGCTAAAAAGATTAAGAATCAAAGGTTTGCTTTCATTTCATTCTCTAGTCATCCTTTTGTGTTTTCATTTCCTTACAACTACAAGTAAAGTAACTCTACAAAAGCTAAGCGTGTGTTGTATGTTTGTTTTCTCTTGTGCACCCCAAATATATATCCTCACTACGTCTTATATGAAGAGGGGCTGTTGTGTTTGTTGTAATTCCTCCCAATACAAGGGATGTTTATGAAGCTATATGAGAGGAAAGTGATCATTGTTTTTTTGTTTTTCATTCAAAGCAGATTTTAGGTGAAAGTTTGGGAAGTGGGGGCGAAGAGCATTACCACCTGAGTTTTGACTAAGTTTTCTCTTCTCTTATGCTAGCTTTAATTTTAAACAGGATTAGACATTTATGGGACTAGTTTTTACTTGTATCTTTTTGTGTAATTAGGTATTCTGTGCCTATCTTATTTTGTACACGATACAGCAGTTTACTTACTTAGTCAACTTTAAAAATATGATTTATAGCAAGTTGAAAACAAAGTTATCTTGCAAGCCAATTGGCAGGATTTAATATTATTTTAGTGTTGGTCTTACTTGGGTTTTGTTGGGTTGGCACTTTAACATTTGGATCGCAAATGTGTTAACTGCAGCACATTTTGTCGAGCATGTGTTATTGTAGTCCCACAACATGGTTGGTACCGTGATGACGATACAGAGCCTTATAAGCAAAGAGTGAAAATAGTACTGTTGAGAGGGAGATGGATAAACAACAAAGCATTATCATTTCCTTCTGTCCTAAGAAGGAACATATCCTAATGTGGATCAGTCTCCCAAATCAGAGTAGGACAAAATACTAGATGTCCTTTCAGCCTGAATAATATCAAATTAGAACTTGGAATAGTAACCAAATGTTTAAATGTCATATGTCAATGAGAGTGATACTGATGATATAAATTAGCCATCTGAGGTAGGCTGAAAGAATCTGTTTCAATTTTGAGACATGAGCAAGAGAAGAGAAAACTAGAAAGCAGGCCACTGTAAGATCTTTTTAAATGTAGATTTTTTAATCCTAAAATACGGAATGTTTTTAGCTATTTGGAGTTTTTCTGCCTCTATCATTTATTAGTGATTTTTATGGTAATGGATACTAAAATCTAAATTATGCC